TATAATAAGCATAAAAATGTGATTATCGATAATCTCTGACAAAATAATAATGTATATTTATTATCATTTACTGTCTTTTTGCACCCGTATTGGGATATATATGTTCCATAAAAACTTTATTGTAAAAACCGACACCAAACTTTAAAAAAATATATAAATAATACTTATCTCTAAAGCTACTTAGAGAAAGTGAGGACAAGATAGAAGGGCTAACTTTGTGTAGTAATAAATAGAAATGTACTTTGCTTAAGTCTCGTGTTTAATTTGTTCTTGAAAGGTAACTAAATAATGATAACAAATTTCTAATCAATAATAAAAACGATTTATAACAAGTAAAATCTTAAGACATTCAATTCAGAATATATAACGCAAATAAAGTTTTGCAATCTAAATATATATAACTTAAAGGTGACTGACTAACATAGTGATCTATCAACGCACAGCCCAAACCACTGGACGGATCGGGCTGAAATTTGGCATGCAGGTAGATGTTATGACGTACGCATCCGCTAAGAAAGGACGAAACTTTATTTCAGGTATTTTACACGTTATAATGAAGAAACATTCGTTAGAAATGCTACTCAAAGTAACTTTACCACGCGGACGAAGTCGCGGGCAAAACCTAATTAATACATAAAATATCGTACAATCATTTTCTAGCTTGAGTACGTAAGCTTACAATGCGACAGACATCGTAAGCAGTCTTCTGTAGACGATTTTTCGTATTTTTCTTCAGGAAACTGGGATAACATTATTTCTTTAGCAATCTCTGTTTTTTTTAGTATTCCCCTTTCTTAATATTTCTCTTTGTTTTTGCAGTAGTATATTTTTTATATCGTTTTTATTACTTTCGTTTTTTTACTCATTCCATTCTAACCATATAATGATGCAGTTTCATTTTTAAATTAATAAAATCATTTTTGAAATATTTTTCTTTTTTATCCTAAACTTTTATTCAGCTAGTTTTGTGTGCTTCTTGCAAAGTTTAAATTTTGTGAGTTACCACCTTCCTCCTCGAGGTATCATATAATTTACCCTAAATTGTTTGAGAAGCTCAAACAACCACAGCAGATCGTAACGAAGCTTTGCTAATAAATCGATACCTCTAAAACACAACTCTATTGCCTACCGTTTAACTAATACACGTTTGATTTGTCCAATTCTGATTGGTCCGCTGACAGCTAATATGTTAAATATTTTCTATCGATAGGTAGGTAGGTACATTTGAGACCCATTTGGTCGTAAATTATGAGTCGCACGAAAGTTCACAGTTCACTATTAGTTGCGAGTGTTGCAAGTGTAATTCAAACCCCACGAATGGAATTCCCCTATGTTTCGACTACTCCTGCGATATATCACCTAACTTTTAATTGAGAATGCAATCTGCAATTTATTTACGTAATTGCAACTCTACAGTATTGTTATTGGAATTGCTTTTGCCAATTACGAAAACGATTAGAGGTATTGATATAGTCAACACCGAAATTTAAATAGGCCTGAAAATAAATTTGTTTTTGACAGCAGTTTCAATGCTTTTCAATCAGATTAAAATTAATCAACCACAGATTTTGATATCGAAAAAGATTTAATTTATTGTTTCGACTTTTTTTTTAATTTTTGTAGTTAATTATTTGCAAATACATAGGTTTGGAAATTTCTTTTTAATGGACAAGTGTCCCTAGACAATATGTTTATTTTCCAATGTTATAATGAAAATAGGAATGAATGATTCGATATTTACCTGAAAAAGCTTGAATGCTCAATGAATTTTATAACAAACGTAGAGGCTTAAATGTTCCATAAACATTACACAATTAAGAAATTCACGGAGTAGCAGTGATGTAGAAAGCTATGTAGTTTCTAAAGGATAGTTTGATGTGTATATTATTAGAAATAACGTAAAATAAGTATTTGAATACAATAAATTACCGTTTATATAATCAAATTTCAACTTTATGAATTTGTTGATTCTATTAGTACGATAAATTTTACCCTTGCGGTTTTATTAATCTGGGTAAAATAAATTATGTTTCGCAATATGAATAGTTTGAATATATGTATATATTCACAAAACCAGGTAATCCGGGCACTGAAATCCGACGAAATATCTCTCCCTCATCTACGTAGAATATGCGCAGCTATGATGTTTGCAAATTACATTTACCCAAAATGTGTGCTAAGTATAAATGGTTTTCCTTTTATAGTGTTAAGGAAATTAAATTAATTATCCATTCTGATATCATTCAATGATATATTAAATTTTTTATCATTATTTTAGAACAACACTGTAGTTCCACATGACTTCTGCGGTTTTACCGTGTAACTGAAGCCCCAATTTCTTTGTTCAAAATGAAACTGATTCGTCTGTCAGGTTACATTTGTAGATAGTGGTGGGATAATAATTAAATAATTACATAATTTTATATCCATATTGATTGTTATCATTTCGTCCATTACGTTGATAATAATAATAATAATAATTCTCCCCCCCCTCGAATCGTCGAGGGGTCGGGAAGAGTAAATTTTATAAAAAAAAAAAATTATAAATCTTTATTTGAGACCCAGTGATCCATATTAAATTACAAATTACAGAAACATGATTACAAATAAAAATATTACATAGTTTAATATGACTTTCTATTACACAGATTGTTTACAAATTTGAAAGGCACTTACGCCAACTAGGCTTGTACGTCACTGCAATCGTTAGGAAACTACTTCTCTGACGTCTTCAAAAGTTCATTTACATCACCACCGTGCTTACATATACAAAAGGTTTCCTAAACCTCAAAAATATCTTATTTTTTCACGTTTAATACAGAAACGAAGCTATTATTGTTAATATATCTAACACTTTTAAATTTCTCAAATATAGGTATTTGCATATTAAAAAAAAACCGAGTACTTAATTTACATTAAAGAATGTTTAGCCAGAATCTAAAACACTCATGGAGTACATTAATTTAATAGATGATTAATTGAGAGTTTTGATGAGTACTGATCAGGTCAACTCTTTTATGTTGGCTATTATGTATTTCTACTACTACAGACTGACTCGAAAAGTTTTATTAAATTCTTATTGCTTTCAATGAGGTTCGTAAAAATGAGCACAGCCCACGGATAATAGCCATTTTCCGTGACAGTATAAGTATCATGAATAGGTAATATATATTTCAGTGAAATTGATTTATGGGTCGTAAACAGGAAAAGATCCTCAAATTACTGCGCAAATGCGAACGGGTCATCACTTTCCGATGGTTGTGCGTTCCTGTATCTGTTGGTTAACTCTTAACATTCCAATAAAGCAACAAAACGTTTGACACATAAGAAATTAAAGGCTACAAAATCTTATTTTGGTTAACTGTTAACATACCAAAAAAGCAACAAAACGTTTGACACAGAAGAAGTTTTATCTCAGACTACGCTTTAAATTAAAGGTTACAAAAATTTTTTTTTTGTCAGCTCTTAACATTCCAAAAAAGCAACAAAACGTTTGACACAGAAGAAGTTTTATCTCAGACTACGCTTTAAATTAAAGGCTACAAAAAATTATTTTGGTTAGCTCTTAACATTCCAAATAAACAATAAAACGTTTGACACAGAAGAAGTTTTATCTCAGAATACGCTTTAAATTAAAGGCTATAAAGACTATTATCCAAGACCAAAAAGTTGCTATTTGCATAAAAAGAAGGAAAATTCAATTTAATATTCACGCACAATCCACGCAGAAAAGAAAATAACGATATATTATGATGTGATTGTGTAGAATCGGTGACGTGCTATATACGCAGATGTTATATTAGCTGTAATATGTTTTATGTCATCCGCATGTCTCATAAAAATAAATCATTTATCATCTGTAGAATTTCTTTTGTTAGCAGTCAGAATGTATTTCGTATTACAAGTTTTAGGGGATGTAACAGTAGCATGTAGTTTACTTACCCCACATGGCTATTTAAGTTTGTATGTTCACCCAGCTCTAAGACATTAGTTGCCCGACTTTTAATGAAACCTTTAGTTATTATAAATAAATATTTTGCAAAAGGAGGAATATATTACGTATGAGCTTATTTGAAATTAATTTTCACTTTTCGATTTATCGGTAGAATTGTACCAGTAAATAGAATCGGCAGATTGCTAATTGATTCTTCAATTGACAAAAACTACTCATTCAAACCTTATGAATGTTTATTAGACTTATTTAAACAATAAAACCTTTTCAAATACATTATATTGATTAAAAATGGGATACTAAATTTAAGAATACATTAATTGAAAATGTTGTAAAGACGTGAAACTGGTGATGAATCTAGAAGGACTTGAAGAATCGGTTGGACCCGGCTGCATCATCAGTCATTTACACTTACCAATATGTACTGGGTCTACTTACTCATAAGCCATGCCCTACTAAGTAAAGAAATCTATTTCAAACGGGCCATGGTCTCATCATCATATTAAATGTTAACTAGGACTCAATAGTGCCCTAGTAAACATTTAATATGATGATTTAACACCTGTAGCACGCACGTATAATAATATTGCCACCTTAATAATAAAAAATGGATGATGTATCATATCAAATACGTAAAATATATCAGATGTCTTTTTTTTTCATTAAATATCTAGTTGTGAAAGCCAACTGTGGCATCGGCTACGTGACGTGAGCGTGTCGCGTCGACGCGATAAGCGTGATTGATGACGTCACGATTGCCGCCAAACTGCTGACGCTTACACTTGTTGATCGTTGACGAGAAAAAGCGACGATGAGTGATCTTTATTTAAAGGTTGATAAAAAGTACATCAGCTTTTTTACATTTAACTTTTCATGATATAGCTGTATACTTATAGTTGCTGTCTATACCAATATTGTAAAGAGGTTAATCTTCGGAAATACTGACCCGATCTTGATAAGTAAGCAGCTATAAACGCGGGCGAAATCGCGGGAATACAGCCAGTTTTCTATAAACATTGTAGACCTTGAATTTTCACAACAGCAGCATAGCTATGTATTTTGTTATGTAAGTATTGAATAAGGTAGCTAATTTCTGGGAAGTATCTGTATACTAAAGTAACATCTGTTATTGTTTCAGCGATGTCAAGAAATTGCGCGATCATGTTGGCCATGTGTGGGCTTGCTGCTGCAACTTTGCGCGGCTCCAGTGCACAGGTTCTTGCGTCTCAATATGACAGTACGTATTTTTGAAAACTAATCGTGTTATAATAGGCTAAGAGATTGTGCCATAAATGTGCCAGGGATTTTTAAAGCTTGGTATTTTAATATATAGAAGTATTAAGGGTATCACTCAGTGTGGAGGTACTGGAACAACTCAGAGCTGATTTTAACAACAACTTCAGAGACGTGCTGAGTCATCGCGTTCCATGAATTTGTAGTTTGAACAGCACATATTTTACATAAAAAGTATAATAAGAAGTATAATATAATATGTATAGTAAGAGCCCATACGCGCTCTCTGCGAATTGCTGGGTGTTAACAACTATAATTGCAACCCTAACCTGCCTACCGAAGCATAGTAGAATGGACACCTATCGAAAGACCGGAATATGTGAAACCTCTTCAAATGTAGACCGAACTCTTTTACTAGTATAAAGCTCCCGCATTTTACAGGTTACACAAATTGCTAACTTCTAGCAGGCTACAATAATAAATCAATATTTATTAAATTTTGTACTTAAAGTGGATTTATGAATTCACTTATAGCGTTATAAAGTTATTTATGATTATTTATGGTCTTAAAAGAGCTCCTACCTTAATTAATTGTTCTTTGAAGTTTTTTTAATGTTATTCTACATCGATCCGGACAAATTACTGGGATCATGTTTATTAATGTTGCTTTTGTACCTGCATTGTTCGTAGCAATTATAAAATACAAGATTTTCTCTGAGATTTAAAAACTTGTAGGAAGGAACGTCTTAAAAGCTTTATCTATCGGACCGAATTTTAGAAAAAGAAATAATAGAGGTATGTTATTTTGTTTAAAAAAACGAAGAAGTTCTATAACAGTAACGAAAATAAATTTATTTATGATTATTTATTCATTAGTAATTTCGTCTGATTTTAATTTTTATCTCTTAACAGAATAACGTTATCTCCTAGAGTCGTGGATTGCGCAGTTTCCATATATATTTCTGGAAAATAGACACCAAATAAAAGATATTGATTAAATGTAAGTGAGATTGAGAAATTATTTAGGGCACTTGAGCATCGCCCTGTGTTTCCGAAGAGGTGCTGCGAAGGTGTCGGCACACCCGTAATTTTGAAAATTAAAGAAATTACTCGTTATGCGTTTACATTGATCCTTTTTACTCTTTCCTTTGAATTTACCTGATATGACTATATGGCCTTTCAACTTCGTTTTTTATTTAATTAATCTTCGTTAATTATATATAAAAATGTTAGTTAATTATATGTGTATATACATACATGTTAAGAAAAAATACAGGTGAGAATTGAAATCCAACATCAGGCTCTCAGTCTGAATTGGTATCCTATTTTTGGCACAGCCGTGAGACGTGTAAATTATTAAATTTATGTAAAAATACCTAAAATTAAGATGGGATAAAGACGAGATGAGACCTAAAATTGTATTTTATATGTCCCATGTTTGTAAATTCATAGCTCTCTTCTCATTTGTCTGAAATAGAATATCCATCATATTCAACAGTCAGATATTAAATAAGGCTTATGTAAATCCCATTAAAGAAAAAGTAAGCAATTATAAGTGTAGTTTAAAATAATTTATTACTATGCTTATTAGAAGTAACACGTGTAGAAACTAAAATATTTTAGATACGAATACCTATTGATAGTAACACAAATTAATAAATCGAAGCATCCTCCCGGCTTGCGGTCGCATTTGACGCGTCAAATAATGTTTATCGACAAACTTAGAGATACCACGGACTAAATAAGGCTGGGTTCAACTTAATTTTAATTAACAAATTTTATGTTAAAATATATAATTTTCTAAATTCTTTAATATAAATGAATTCTAAATTCTTCTAATCTAAATACTTTAATAAAGCCTTTTTTATTAGTACAGAAAACTTTATATACCGACTAAAATATATCATCGGTTCATATCAAAGTGGCTGAAAACAAACTTAATAAAAAAAAATATATATATTTTTTTTAAGGTTTACCAATGCTCGTTGACCGAAGAAGCTTCCTGCGTATTCGCCTGCGTAAATTATAACATACGCATGTAGCTCGCCATAGGTGAAAGACTTTTATAATTAGTCCAGTAGTTTTGAAGCAATATTTAAGGCAAACAAATCTTTTTCATTATTTTATTAAAATAATATTGTGTAGACTCATCTCAAAATTCATTAAATAAACAATTCAGGTTTGTAACCACGTCAAATAAACATACTCGAGTATTATAATATTATCTTACTTAACAAAAGCTACGTATAAATCTTTAAAGCCCCATAAGTTTTAGTTGCTGTTTCACGCTTCCACTAGATGTTGATTATTTTAGGACGTGATCCACTAAGTTGGTAACTGATCGTTTCGAGACTTTAGTGCTTCTTATATAATTTTAAACTAGTTAATCAGTTTGAAAGTAAATTGATGTTTAGTATCTTTATGTAACTATTATGCGGTGTTATTCTGTTAAAATACTGTCGCTAAAATAATACGTAGCACTAGAAGTTCAAAAAAAAAAACTCATTCAAAAGGTACTTTATATGTATACGTCCTATCTAGTTCTAAATCTAAATCACTTTAGCAATAGTTAATTAAACTTGAATTAGTCAACATTTGACAACTTAACGTATTGAATATTAGCTTGTTGTAAATGACAGATGAAGACATAGGCAAGTGATCTAGTTCACTTTTTTCTACTGTAGTAGCACTAGTAGTCATCAAATTAAATATGGCGTTAATAGTCAGCGCACCATAGTCTTTAAATTAACGTGAGATATTTCGAAATTCGAATAAAGTATTGAGTTAGAAAGTAATGTTGTATTACTTTCTAACTCAAAAAAAAACTAGACTAATATGTTGCTATTTGTCTAGTTTTTACCAGACGAAATACATCTTTTTAAGCGTTGGTTTCAATAAATTGGATATAGTTCATCTCATTCATGTCCTTGCCCATTATATAAAAAAGAAAAGGTAATAATTAAATCTCTAATACTGTAACAGTTAGCAATATTCGACGCTGCGTTCGACGTTGTATTTTACGAAATACCAAAGCTTAACTCTCACAAGGGATTATACAAATATTTTCACTGTAAACATCTAAGTCAATTCAATTGATTTCTTTAACTCTTAAATCTTTTATCTTACTAAGCATTTCCAAGTAATTATAAGCACAGAACGAATCAAAACATCTGACTTCCAACTTAATGGTTTAATTTGCATAGTCTATTGTGTGTAAGACAATCAGAGACTTAGCGAAGCGGCGCATTTGATTTTATTAACCCCAGATCTGCCAATCTATCGCCCTCAGCTTTAAACTATCTTGATATCTTTCAGGGACATATTAATATTGTTTCTTGTTAATATTTACTGTTATCTCGTTAATGTTATCATCGCTGAACATGTCTTTAGCATATTGTAAGAATGTCTAAGTACCTTTACAGTGGACCACAACCTGTACACACAGGGTTTTTGCTAATTTGACTAATATAATTCTTATTTCAACTGATTGTACATATGCGGAAGCTAGTAATAGTCTTATAGATGCAACCATAATTTTAATAATGCTGGCTTTACAAAAAGAATAAAATAAAAAATAAAATCTTGTCTTAAAGATACGAGAAGTTAGAAATAATTCCACACCGTATTAGCTAAATGTTTTACTAACTGCTACACATAGGTACATAATTTAATTATATATTTAATTAGTTGTTTTTCCGAGACTTCGCCCGCGTCTAATGTAGCGTAGGTGAAATAATTTTTTAAATCGGTTCAATAGTTTCGGAGCCCATGAACAAATCTTTTCTCTTTATAACTCTAATATAGAAAACTTGTTTATTTATTTTTTAATGTAATTCCAAACATTGTCAATGTGGGTAATTGTAGTAGAATGTCCTGGTAGTAGTTGATAGAGTAGAGATAGATTTAAACTAGTTACAATAACAAAGAGCAACTACGCCAAAAGCGTTTGCCATAACTAAATAGTGTGTGGCCTACCACAATATAATACCTAGGTATATTATACGAGCATTTATTAACTTGCAACGTAAGTAAGAATGTCTGTTCTTCAAATATTGCAACTGAACTTTAAAGTATAACTACTTTAAAATTAAGGTATAAATACAACTAAGCTGAAAATTTGCATATAGCTATAAATGAGAATGGATTGTTACATAAGTTCTATTATTTTAAATTTAAAATAGCGTGCGGTTCAAGATGGCAGCTTAGTAGTTTTTTGTATGTATAAAATTTAGATTAATAGAAAGTTTAAATTAAGGTATGAAATGAATGGATTGGCTAAGGAAATCACGATATTATATAAAAGCTTGTCGCTACTATTAGGTTTATAATATTCAAAAAAAAAACCTTTTTTTGATATTATGTAAGTTATAGTCAGCTAAATTACATTTACAGTAATTTAGCTGAGTATGATTTACAGTGAAAATAACAAAATTGAAGTATATCCATTGAATTATTAAAATAATTATAAAAAATGTGTGATAAAATATTCGATGAAACAAAAATATCAACGCCGATTCAAAGAAAAAAAGATGGAATCTAGATGGCCACGCTTGATCGTGGAAACCACCAAGGAGGTTGCAACCTCAACAGCAATATAAATAAAACCTAGAAACTACCAACTATTTCTGAAAGGTTATGTTGCCGTCGGTTGTCATAAAATATGTCAGTTTGATCTTTTTACATTATGAAACTAGGTACCTACTTACTATAACAAAGTGATCCAATATTAAAAAGAATCTTATAAAATTCGTTTGACAAAACAAGTGTGAAAAAAGGCAGACATTGATTTCATGTCCGTACCAAGACCCTTTAAATTTCCATTAATGAAAGACGTGACGTTCCGAAAATGTATATTTTACATAAAGTCCACAGATTTAAGAATTCTAATAAAGTTTATGAGCAATTATTCTACGCTGTGATAGAAATTTCAGAGTCTAATATAATTCTCTAAACATAAATTAATTACATTTCTAAATTGTTATTTAAATAGTCTCAAATATGATATTTTTACTATAAATGGATTTTAATTCAAAATGATTAAAAAAGACGAAGAAAATATATTTAAATACAGAAAAAAGAAATGTTATCACTGCATTTTTTTTTCCTATGATTTAGTAAAAAATATTTGAAACTTCTTGTTTAAATATTAAATTAATTTTTATTTTAATATTGTTTATAAACATATTTTTAATTTTTTATCACCGATGTTCGCATGTTATTAAAAGAGAAATAAAACGTGAATATAAAGTAACTCAATTTTAATGTGTACCGGCTATAAGGCTATATATTTATGTACACAGCTTCGCAACAATAGTTTAGCTGTGTATATTAGGGTGTAACTTAATCGTTCCGCTTCATTATGCAGCTCAATGAGCATGTTCCTCACCCATCCTAGACCTAGTGTATACCTAACTTTAGCTTTCCAATTTTAGTGACTTTATAGAATAACTTTACCGAACTTTAGCATATACCAACTCAAATAAATATTTAGAGTATTTATCCATTGCAAACATATGTTTTGAATAATTATTTAAAGAATATTTTAAAGCCTGACTACTTGTAGATACTTATTTGTAAAAAAGGATGAAAATAGAAGTTAAAAGCCTGAAGTTACAGTTATAGTGGTATTGACCACATGTACCCACGCGCATCGTCACATGGGATAGGGTAAATTTAATATCCTATTTTACTCATGACAACTAATAGAATTAGGTAATTAGCACTAAAAAAACCTAATTGAATCTTCATTCAAACAAAGCACCCCGGCTCTTTTAACTTCTTTGCAAGATGCTTTTCACGATAAAATCCTCCTATCTCGTTCATTTGAATCGACCTTCATATCTCTTTACATTTGAATCAGCTTTAATATCTCTAAATATTTGAATCGGCGCAGCGATTTGAGTGTAAAAAACAGATTTACTAGACCATTTATAATATTGTTCCATAAGGATTTGTGTGTTATATTTTCTTACACTTAAATAAAGATGATTCAAAAGTTATTAGGTATATCAGCTTTTTATACTTATGAAAAATCTAGTTAGAGAAACCCAGGGTCATACTATTTTATTATATCAATAAATAAACCTCAGGTATGCGATTTAAAAAGGAGGAATTTACCGACCACGTTCCTTATGAAAGTTCTAAGAATAATTCATGGCTGGAATGGGACAGATTCCTTAAATCCTTTTATGACAGACTTGAAAAGCTACTCATGTATTCAAAATTATCATATTTTATGTTCATTTATTTTGTGGTGCCTTAATTAGTTTCAAACACCTAATAAAAGAACTGAAAGGCTACTTGGGATGTGAATTATAATCTATATTTATTTAATACATTGCCGACGGTATTACATAAAATTAACATACTTATTGATTATTTATTAACCGATTTCAAAATTGAAAAGAAGGAAGTAATATATTCGACGGCGATGTAGAGTTATTTATATATAACATTACGAACTATTATTTTTAACAGTACGACCTTTTTAGTCCCAGGATTCTATATTTTTTTTATAATTTTGCCATTTACAGTCTTTATGTGGTATACGGTAACTATACTCTAAATCTCCATAATGATATTTGAGAAACTTTTATAGCTATACAGATCATAATGCTATATTATAAATACTTACGATAAATATAAATATTTTTTAATATTGTTTATACGTATATACAATTATAATTAGTCGTAAAGTAAATCACCGCAATCTTTGCCTATAATCAGGATTATGAACGAAGACCGCAATTTCAGTTTTACGATTCAGTCCAGTTCCATTCAAATTCGGTAGGTTCTGGAAATGAATTTCTAAATTGGTATATGAATAACTGCTTGCTTTGTTTTGTAAGTATATACATATAAATCTTGTTAGAAAGCTTTGTGCTTTTGTTTTCTTGCTATGGGGAAACCGTCGATCAAACAATACCTCAAATGTGAAATCCACTCGGTCGAGTAAGTTTAATGATAGCATTACAACTGTAGCAAAGAAGCTTGTTGTAATTTGATTCGTTTAATATAAAACAATACAATTAAATTAAAATATCATTTACTGCGAACTTGAAATAAAGGGAGTAGGACATATTGTCCCTTAGGATTTTGTTCTGATAAAACTTAGGAGATAACTTTGATTACTACTTATCTGTTGGTTTAATAAGAAAAATTGTACGTTCTCATACTTATTTGGTAAAGTTGTATACGAAGTGGTAATTTATTTTGAACTACTCATGAACGATTTATTTATTAAGTGGTATAGACAAATGTTTTAATGCTGCGATTTTAATTTATACTATTTTTTATTAGCTCAGAAACTACTGGACTTGTGACGGGTTCGATGCTTGGAAGAATTAATGAAAGGCTGACTAAGCTTGAGAACTCGATTGTATTATACAGTAATAAAGAAAAGGGTAAAGAAAAAACTGTAACAAAAAAAATAAATATAAAAACAGTTCGTATGATTACCTAAATATATAATTACAATTATTAAATACAATACAACAAATTCATATTCCTTTTTTGGATTTTCTGTAATATATAAACTTGGACGATATTTCACGAAAATATATTTTTAGATTAACAATTTTCTTATTTAAATTATAATAACATAATTATTATTACATTTTTATATATTTAAATTTATACGATTACAATAACATGTTCACACAAGATGAATTTTTTACGAACTGACATCATAAAGAGCATATTGGATTAGTCCAAATTTCAAATTACGAAAAGTGAATAATAAAAAGAAATGATGTTGAATATCAAAGACAAAAAGTTTACATAGGAAACCTAGGACGAAATAAATGGTGATACGGCGCAACACTGATTTCAAAAGTTATCACTTACGGAAGGTTTCACTTACGGAAAACTACATCACACACATATGATATACGGTATAATTTACGTGGGTAAAGTCAAAGGAACAGCTAGTTTTATATAAATTCAAAATCGGTGTGAAATACACGTTAAATAATATATTTTTCTTTTCGCAGCGTCAGCAGCAGCAGCAGACAGTAGGAACAATTGGGACGCATTCGGTGGGTTGTACGCCCTGTTAGCACAGCATGACGCTCTCGGAGGGCATGCGTTGGCGCGCAAGTCTGTGAGGTCGCCTTCCAGGCGTCTCCGTTTCGGTAGACGATCGGATCCTGATATGCCACCGCAAACACCTGTAAGTAATGTTAGTTGTTCTATTTGCTAATTTATTATATTTTTATTCAGTTCTATATCAAGCCTAATACCTATAGTGTGAGGTTGGGTATGAAGCTCTTTTTTTTTGGATGCCTTCTCCCAAAAGTTAACTTCGACGAACGCTGCCAACTAGCGACAGGTCCCGTGACATCTAAAGGATGGTAATGGCATGCGTAAGGGACGGCCTGATAGGACCCCGTAGATAGATCCTATTATGCAGATGTTAAAGGGGAGAGAAATATTTCAATAGTGCATCTCCCCTCTATAGAGAAATGGTGGGTGGCTATCAATACCCGCTTACCCACCCGGGCTACCACCACTCTGTCAAGAGTGAACAATTAAAGAGATATTGTACGACATTATAAAACTTTAATAAGCCTAAACATAAAAATTCTTGTGCTATAAAAAATGTGTTAGAAAGTAATATTCATAATATTATTGAACTTCTTATAAATTATCTATGATTTTTTTTGATTCGCTATTTTATTGAAGTACATAACTGTAAATCAAATAATATTATCAAGAAGTTGGCTATCCCTGATCGTTAAGTTAATAAAAAATCTACTCGTATTTCTAATTTAAATTTATTATAAAATATTTTTTCTTACAGCGTTTACCTTGTCCTTTAATCCTGTGATTTAATAAAAATTTTATAAAAAATTAATAGGATCGGCGAGGGGCCTACGATTTTTCATTTCCATTATACCATTAATATTCCAACTTAACGAAGATTTAATTAAAGTTAAGAAGGCGGTATCTTTCCGTAAAGTGAAAACAGATTATTTTTGTCATAATTCCGAATATTCATTGATTCTCCAAGAGTAATAAAAAATATCTAAATATTTATTGATATAGTTTTACAAAACGAAGCTGATGCCCCTTGCCCCTAACTTGATACGTTTGTGGAACTTGTAATTTGCTTACAAGGGACTACTTAAAGTTTAAGAGATAACAGTTTCCTTGATTCAAATTAAGGCATTGTTAGATCATCACTGTAATAGTTTGAGACGGACATTCAGAAGTTTCTTCATACTGAATAACTTATTTAGTTATATGGATAACTTAGTTTATTTCAATTTGTATTAAATTGACCTAGAATCAAGACATTAGACAACACTGTAGTTTTCTCTAAGTTCCTAATATACTAAGGGCCGTTTTTTTATCCGTGGTTAACTCAATCATTTGTTGAAATCTTCGACAAATAGTTAAATATCGGAAAAATATGTTTTTTGATTAATAGTTAGCCTAAACAATTGTCAGAATTCCGACCTTTGGTCAAAAAATTTAACCATCACTGGAAGCTAGGTTAAGCAAATGACCAATGGTTAAAGAACAGATGTACAACTGCGTTGTATTTACATGGGCCCTTGTTATTGTTTTTTACCTTGTTTTTATAACCTACATGATTTCATAGTGAATGGACATTAGTTATTTTTGGGATTTAGTTTTATGATGCAATTTCACAGGAGAATATTCATTGTCATTTTTGGGTTTTACGGTTATTGAAAATAAGTTATATTTTTATCTTGACCATCCTTAGTATATTTGTACTATATAAAATAATTTGTTTTCTTGTTTCCACGGGCATAGGGGAAGATTGGCACCATTCGTACATTTTTTAGTCAATGATTTTTAAAATATTGATAATCAAAGATAAATTACTCAATTACTTATTAAAATATAAAGCATACTTTCTGCTCCTTATTTAAAAAGTTCAAAGCCGATATCTTGTATAATATATTAAAGGATTGAATTTTACTAAACGCTTATGAATGTCCGAATCTACCACTATTAAGGGGTACAATCGTACATGGGCCGGGGAACATTCAGACAGTGGGGACACTTTATATATATTAAGTAAAATAACAAATTAATTTAAAAAAATCGTTTTCATTGATCTCAAACTTATCAACGATGTAATAAACTAAACGACATATGCCTGTATGTCTTCCCCTATGCCGAATTATTCAATTATTAAATATCTTATAAAATCCACGAATAGACAATACAAAAGGTAAATATGCCTACAGTATATAAAATACATATTTCCTCGATTTATTTTACAACATTACAATCCCGCCTTGGATACTAGATACTATATTCTTTTCCCTATTTCGCTATTTATTTCTCTATAAGATAAAGATAAGATAAATAAAAAACAAATATATGATTTTTATAAAATAACTCGAAAAACATTTATCTTTGTTGTTTTCTAAATTGCCTATTTCCTGAAAATTAACACATAGTGCGCACAACAGAACAACCATAAACATTCACACTGTTTGGTAATCTATAGATTTCTTTTGTCTATTTGATATTTGGAACAAAATCCTAATGTAAAAAATGGTATATAGTTCGCTCCGTTCATTCAAACCGTTAGTGTTATCACCCAGAAAAAAAATTACCCATAGCAATGAAGAGCGACAGAACGGCTCATTGTGCTGGCAACAAATTAACCAGTGGTTAAATTTGGCTATGGTTTAATTCGGGATCAAAAAACAAAATAGCGGGTTAACAACTTGTTAATGTTTTAACTGTAGTCAAGTTAACAAATGGTGAAATGACATTTGACTACGGATCAAAAAACGGACCCTAAGTGTTAATGTGATTACTAGTATAATAAATTTATATATAAATCGTATCGAAATGTAATTTTTCTGTAAAAGTAATAATTTCAAAGTTTCAGAATTAATACCTACAATACTTTTAAATATAAACAATATTGAAATCAAATTGTAGTAGTTTGCAAACAGAAAAAAAAAACAGTGAATTGAGGATAGAACTTATTGTAGAGGCGCATTCAAAGACTCTGAAGAATTGTTGGCTTTTTGAAAGCCAGTGATGAACGTAATGCACAATGTACAGTCGACAGTAAGTCAGGTTGCTACAAAATTCAAATCTCTCCAATCTCTGTGGATCAATCTCCGATTTTAATGTAACCCCAAAAGTTAACCCCAAAATTGCAGTTTGGCAATCTGAAGTGCTGCTGTCTCTGCCTACATTTTAAAGTAATTTAATAAATACTTTTCCTAAGTACAAATATCTGTAGTAAAAAACGAGATTCCGTTCAAGGTGTATTCCTTTCCCTTATTTGAGACCTTTTCATTCAAGAGAATAAAATAAAAAAGAAAAGATATGATTCTTAATGAAAATACTTCAAAAATCCACTTTGTCTCTGGTACTCCCATCCCATCTTAGAGTATCAGGGACAAAGTGGATTTCTTAAGCATTTTTCATTATGACTATTTTCCAATATAGCAAACATGATCAAAATAAATTAATGAAAGGATATTATTTCAAATAAGAAGTTTAATAACTCAGAGATGACTTAATACCTTAAACTTACCAGCTTAATATAACTACAACAATGGAATATGCAAGAAATAATAATAATAGTTTATTGATGCCTCCAAAAGACAATATGCTCAGCTATTTAATTTGAACAACAGGATTACACGGTGACAGCAGCAGTATGAACTATAACTAGCTACCAGCGTCCCTGCCGTACTAGTTTGCGAAAATTATTAATAGAATTTAGTTATATTTAAGCCAAGTATACATAATTTAATATGTTGACAGATTAAGATTATATTTACCATGATAAACAGAACTATAGTGGATATATATTACTTAATGCAATATGTTCGTCTAAGGTCCTCTTGTACACCCGCTTACGTTCCCATAAAAATACGCATCGAAAGTAAACGCGCGCGCTTAATCTCATGCATTTTTAATCACAGAAAAAGAAAATACAGTTATAAAAAAACTTTTATGTTGTATATTATATCAAAACCTATTTTTTTATATTTAAGATGAAATATATTAGGTCAAAAGATTAATTCTATTTCATAAAGTCATAATATTATTGGTTTGAATAATATCTCAGTCTTTGAAACAAAAAGTCCCCATTGAATACGTCATTCTCTGTTGGTAATGCATGATAATGATCAAGCTAGCGGAAGTTATTCCCTTCTTGTATGTGAGCTGAAAGGCATTTCAATGTTTCGTCATAATTCCCTCGTAAAAATGGTTTAGGCTATACTTCTCTTTAGATAAGTAACATCACTCAGTTCTTTTTTTTGACATAGTATTTCAAGTATTTCAATTTTGCAAGTCAGTAAACCTTGTTATTTCGATCTAAGACTATGATAGATAGTTATGAAAATTATTAATTTAAGTAAATATTATATGGTTTTATATCAACCGTGGTACAGAATTACATATTTAAACTATGTGGTCATTTTCATCCACCTTATTATTATTTTTTTATTATATTTTAATGAGGGAGGGAGTCGTGATACCTCTTACGTATGGCTACAAAAATTAAGTTAAGATTGCATTAGTACTTACAGAATTTAAAGGTTAATTACCTATAATAAATAAATAAATTCTTTATTGTACACCAGAATATTTTGTAATAAATTTTTCTTTTATTTCTTAGGTGTAAATAATTATAAAATATTGGCAGGTTATTACAATTAAATAGCAGTAATGTTACTGCTACATTAAAGGCGATTGCACAAATATCATGTCCAATTTTGACCTAAAATTGGACATGATATTTAAGGATATATATCCTTAAATGTAAATTATTTATTACTAATATCATATCAAGAAATAAAATCTCAAAATGAAGCCAGGATAAAAATTGCGAGGCTGATAATTAATTTTAAATAGTACTATGATAAGTACCCGAATGCGTTTCGGACCCTAAAATGACGATTTACTACACTACCCTAATGCGATTCGGACCCAATAACGGTTAACTACGTTTTGTCTCATCTACTACGGAAAAATATCCTTTCGTCATAAGGTTGAAAAGTGTACCTACATTTACAATTACATTTTTGATTTATTTTCATATTTACGAGTCAAACTATCAAAAGCTTTTTAAAGTGGCTTTACAATTACCTCGAGTTTTGACAGCTACGAGGGTCAAACTGAAAGTTCTTAGAAAATCAAAAACTGATTACATTAGCCAGTTATTAGTTTTATTATATCTTTTCAAAATATTGTCCATTCACGTCAATACACCGCTGCATGCGATGGAACCACTGGGAAAAGCACTTTGCCCACTCGTCCTTAGGGGTCTCTTCAATGGCATCGCGATACGCAGCCACCGCTTCTTCAGCATTCATAAACCGCTTTCCTTTAAGTTTTTCTTTAATTTTTGGAAATAAATAAAAATCACAAGGCGCGAGGTCGGGGCTATACGGCGGGTGACCCAGTAATTCAACGTTTGATGTCGCCAAATAGTCGATCGTTCGCTTGGCGGTGTGCGACGAGGCGTTGTCGTGGTGAAGGAGGATCCTACTGCGAGGTCGTTTCTCTCGAACTTTTTCCAAGACAAGTGGCAAACAATTGGTAGTGTACCATTCTGCAGAAACTGTTTTTTGATCCTCTAACACAATTGTTGCAAAATGACCTATCCTTCCAAAGAACGAGGCCATCATTTTTTTTCCCGCACTTCGATCTCTCTTCACTTTAGTTGGCAACTCCTCGAAAGGAAACACCCACTGAGCAGATTGTCTTTTGGTTTTAGGATCATAACAGTAAATCCAGCTTTCGTCACCTGTTACTATGTCGAACACAGCATTTGAGTCACCTCCGTTAAATCTTTCAATCATTTTACGACACCAATCCACACGATGGAGTTTTTGAGCCTCAGTCAAATTATGAGGTATCCACCGGGCGCAAAGCTTCCTGACCGCTAAATGTTCGTGGAGGATTTTGTGCACTTGACTCATACCGATGCCTAAGCTTGTCCGAATCTGTTGATAGGTCACTCTTTTGTCAGTCTCTATCATACGCCGCACAACACAGATGTTATCTTCAGTCGTCACCGTAGAAGGCCGTCCCTCACGTAAATCATCAGTGAGATTAGTGCGACCACGTTTAAACTCATTAAACCAGTTGTAAACAGTCGCACGAGATGGGGCTTCATCGTGAAAGGCCAATCGTAGTCTATCATAACTTTCTTGTTGACTTAAATGTCATCGAAATTCATAAAAAATCATTGCACGAAAATTTTCTCGTGTTAAATTCATGATGACGTGACACAGATAATTTTCAATTTGCCGCCAAATCGTAAAACAAATGACAAATGAATGAAATATATACTCAGTAATATTGGCAAAGAGTTATATTTTAAAATTTTAGAATTATTTTTTTATTATATTGTTTATAAGTTGCCAGTTCTAAGAACTTTCAGTTTGACCCTCGTATTATAACTACTAAACATTATTTACAAATTACGAATCTGTGTGGCCTCCAAAAAAAAGGTGTTAAGATATTATTCTAAAAAAACTATTTGAAATTATCACTAATGATGGGTAGACGTGACCTTTAAAAAAACATGTGACAGGTCAATCGAAGTATGGAAAGTGGACATGATTTTTTATTATGAATTTAATTAATTAATGCGAGAATACTTTCCACGCAAGAAACAAATCTTTCATAAATAGAATCAGTATCATTTCGTTTCGTAATTTATGTCATAGTTGGACGAAATGGACGAGTTGCTCTCTCTCCGCGAGACCCGGACGCCGGTGCGCCTACGTTTCGGACGCCGCTCGGAAGAACACGCCATCCCACACGTGTTTCCACAAGAGGTGCACTCGCCACTCACTGATTCGCTGGAACAAGACGAGCTACTCTCCTTACGCGAGGCTCGATCTCCTCTCCGCTTGCGATTTGGGCGCCGCTCAGATGAACACGCCGTTCCGCATATTTTCCCTCAAGAGGTACGTTCAAACGTTTCATTTATAGTGGTTGATCAAAATGGACTGCTCCTACAGCGCCTAGGCAATGCTGCATTGGCCCTTATCCTTTATGTTTTTAAAAAATACCACAACCACCGTGTTATTGAAAATATCTTGAGCTCTCAGAAAACTCATACAGCAAGCGTTTGTTCTCAGGAAATTCCTGAACACAGTTTAACACGTCGAACTGCTGATCGTAACACACATGCAGTATGGTATTGGTCTGAAACTTCCTTTCATAGAGAAATTTGATGGACTTTGCAGTACGGAGAACGAGAAAGTAGTTTCGATTATATTCAACTGGTGTTGCATTCACCCTGCCTTCATCCCACGCCTTCATCTGCAAATAAATTGTCACTATATGATAAACTAGCTGGTAATAGGCCGCATAAATTATAAGCTATGAAAACTGAGTATGATGTAGCTTCCCGTAGATGGAAGAATTAAAATTTAAAAGAATTAAAATTTATCCAGTGGTTTCGGAACCAACTCGATGAAAAAAAAAATCAATAAAATCTTTTTTCATTATAATATTATAGTTAACATTATAAAGTAAAATAACAATATTTAGACTCGATGGCGTAGTAACTCTTTATTGTACACACCACAAGCTAATGCACAAAACACAATAATTAATCAGACAGTACAATTGGTGGCCTTATTGCTAAAAAACTCACGTCTACTCATAATATACAAAGAATCTAAATAATTCTGTTAAAAAATATGGAACACTACAATACATGTCAATTTAAATAATTAATGTCAGTATAAATACACATTATGTCAAGTATATCCTGCTACTGAAGTCTATTAAATTTAGAAATTATCTAGACAACAAATTAGACTACTTTAATGAGATAATTCCATCAATAATTGAATCTATGTTTTTTAAAGTCTTTAATAATTTAGAGGCTTAAATAGAGCCTAGACGCGTTAAGTAGGTCACAAAAAAGTACTTTACTACTGTTATTTATAAGAGGCAATCTATTGAAGTGATGGTTAAATAATATTCAAGATGTCCTTTATTAGGCAAGATCGTTTTGCAAGCGCGAGCCTAAGGCTTATCAAAATTAATATCGGTCAAATTTCGTTTTTACATTATCACCTTTGTTATTGCTTTTCCAGATAACTTTATTTTTCAATTATCTGATAAAGCGGCACTAATTTTTAAAGTATATTTTCTTAAACGTATAAATTCCAGAAAAATAGAATGTTTGAGTGCCCATTTCTAAAAACAGAAGTAAAACTCCTTGCTGAGTTTCCCCGTTGTCTTAATTGATATTTTATGCATACTAATATTATGAAGAGCTAAGATTTGATTGTTTGTATATTAGTTTGTTCCGACACTACAATTTATTTAGTATACACCAGGTGCTAATTTACTCCAAGCCACTGCTATGCTTCCCACCTCAACTTTGCTTTCATTCTGCAATGCCTTTTCTTTCCTTTTTTCTTATATGCTAATCTGTTTCTTGCCTTTTTTTTCTGGGAACAGCTCCTCTTCTTGGAATGCGAGTAGAGATTGCACTTCTATATTCTTTAATTTATATTATAAAATAAGTGTAATATATCTTACAATTGATTCCTAAGTTCCTGAGAGTCTTGCGGGGTCTGTAGCTGGTTCACCATCTTGGACATCGATGAGACTGCAACCATTTTTAATTTTAGAAAAAGGTTAAAGTAAAAGAAGTACCTTATTGTACCCTAAAAGTTGCATAAAGAATGTTTCAATCGTGTAAAAATCCTTTATTAAAATAGTAATTGATTAATTTCAACTTTGTCAATCAAGTTTTATATTAAACTATATTGAAATACAAACTGTTGTAATATTTAAAAAATAAATATCGTCTGGGCTGAAATTATTCACTCTAAAATTTCATTCAACTGTATTTTAATGACATAATGTAAATGAATACTATTTTATTGTGTGAAGCTATTTCTCATAACATTTGGAATAAAGGTTACATAAAAATACTAATTTAGATTCATACAAAAACTTCAATATCATAAGATGATCGCAGATTTCTCTATTTTACGTTTATTCTTGAACTTAATAATGGTGAAACTATAATAAATAATAACATGTACTTGCGTGTGCTAAAACTATCATTCGAACTAGGCCAAGATAATCTGAATTATATTATTATTATATTGTTTCAAATACACTATACGTCCAAAGATCTTAACCTAAATTTTTCTATCGATTGTTATGCGAAAACACACTTATGACTCATCAAGGACATTTTATTACCACACCGCACTTTCGAGTTAAATATATTTTGTCACCACCAACGATATCATTTACACGGGCGAAGTTAGAGAATTCAGATCAGAAACTATTAATTATTAATGTACATTTTCAACTCTGAATTAAAGCAATCATCACATTTTAAATTTTGTAACATCTAAAAATTCGTAGAGTTTTCAGTTTGCTAAAATTACAGAACTGATTTTCATACGGTATTCGTCAGTAGAACATGAGGTAGGTTTGAATGGTATTGGAAAATTGGCTGTACTATGAGGACGATTATTGAATATGGCGAAAAAATCAAACCACATGTGAATTGCTCATGCTCCTGCTGAGGCAGGTTATTAGTTCTATTAAAGGACTTCATAAAAATCTTATAGATAATAAAACTTATACCCTCGTTTATAAATAAAACAGTAAATGTAAGTTAACTTCAACTTAGAAAGACCGGGACTTCATTTTTTTAACCGACTTCTCAAAATAATTTACATTCAGCACATGATGTTAAGATGCCTATATATACACGTGAAAATTGCGCAATATTCACTTATGTTTCTAAAAAAGCATAAAGACTGAAGATATACATATCTATAAATTTACCCGCGTATATACTGCAAATTAGGTTCTCTTTTTGTTTAATTGACTTTCAACTTAGGGAATGAAAATCGTTTTAGTATTTGGAATATATGACTATTAAAGTTTAAAAGACTTTAAATAGGAACAAATAAAAAAACATACTTAAAAAAACAAAGCACCCCAAAAAGCCTATTTAAAATGAAATACAATTTAAGAAACTATATTCCGGCTTCAATAGAAATTTATTAAGCTTTTGAAAACTTACTAGGTTGGTCCCAACTACTACTCTAAATCTAGAATACTGAATGAAAAAAAATATTTCATTTACATTTTTTCATAAACAATTTTATATAACTACAATTTATTTAGATTTTGTTCATTTTGAAATTAAAATTAGTGTTTGTTTATATACCCCTTTTATCAAATTATATAAACAAAGGCATCTTTATATGATTCATAAATCCATAGATTTCGTTCGTGCCTCCCAAAGCCATCGACCGACTACGTACGGTCGTAAAATCTCTGATGCGATGTAAACTCTGTAATGAAGTTATTCCCTCTAACAAGCCACTATTCGCTTTACGACAATTGACCCATTTTATGACGAAACGGAAACATTTTGTAAGAAAGCACCACTTGCACGAATGAGTGAGGCTACACTTCAAGAAAGCTTATATAAAAAGTAATTGCTTTTTGGTTGATACATGTTACAAACAAAAGTTTTATGTTTAATAAAGTCGATTATTATATTCCTTGATTATTGCCGCGGGAGTTACAAGTAAAAGATAGAGAAAATTTTCTAGCGAGAGTGAGGTCGTATAAAGGTTTTATGAAACAACGTGAATATATAAGAGGTACTTTTAAAAAATAAGCAGACGTTACTTATTTTGCCTTGATAATTTTATTGGCGTGCTACATAATATTCTCTGCGTATAATATTTATTTTATTATATGAGTAGATGTCTTGTTTTTGTATGACTCTTAAGATAAAGGTAAGTATGATTATCAGTAGAAATGCGATGTTTTTGTTATTATTCGACACATGGCAGGCAGGGCCGGATCTAAGGGAGGTTTGTGGGGATACTTGCTACGCCTGCATCAGAGGGGCGGCAAAAACATTATCATACGAGTATGTTAAAGTAAGGATTAAGCTTCATAAAAATGTATACCACAATAATTCCAGTCAGAGTTCTATGCATAGGTATCGGCTTTATACTATCAATGTTCTCAGATTACTTCGGAACATTCCTCTATATTTCACTTGTTTTAGGAGTAGAGAAACAAGACCAAATACAGAACTCAGCAAGAAAGTGAACACCGCACAAAAATTTAAAACAAAAAAAAATAAACGAAAAATAAAACGTTTCTAAAAGGAGTGTTAACATACTAAAGATACTGCTATTAAAATCCCGCATTTCGGATTTACTTTCGTGACAGGTGCTAATTTCTAGAATGTATTTTTTTCTACTACGAAGAAAGCCTCTGTATATTTTGCTGGTAGTTTTATACTGTAACATTTTCAATTATTAATCAATTTTTATTGTTCATAAAATTAAGTATTAAAAGACTACTTAACTATGGCACTAAGTCCGCCAATTGTACGCTATTTGTGCAATCTAGTTTATATAAATTAATAAATAATAAAAAAAATAATTGAGCGGGCTGTTGAATGTTTAATTCTGTTACTCAGCTTGTTAGACGTTTAGCTGTGATTATTTAATTAAACAGCTCGTTCAAATGAATGTCGGTTTTACCCAGTTGACTGCGACATATATGTAACTTTACGCCACGCGTCGCCTTATCGCTGTATCGTTTCATATTCACTTATGATTGAAGAATCCCACTCTCATAATCATGTGTACTTAATTTAAGTTTATGTTTATAACTCACTTCAAAGATATTAATTACTGATAAGTTAGTAAAGGTAAATAAATCATCGTGTCGTGTGAATATTTTAGCATGCTATTTTAACATATATCTTTAAAAGCTTTACTTTATTTCGAACTTACGATATACAAATACAAAAAGCTATTTTGTTATCTATCATCATCTGAGTAGGTGTAAAAGTGATAGAGTGAGTAGGTGTAGATCTAAAAGGCATACAGCAAAATACGCGGTTTATTTTTGAAATAAATTTATTTCGGTAATATTTTTTTTCCGTTGGTTATTGTCAACGGAAAAAATTACTATATCTTTACAATCGATTTTTTAACGATGATGTTATTTTTTATACTTATAGAAACTAAATTTAAATTAAGTTATTACATTTGCTCAATTTTCCATTCACAAAGCTATACTGAAAAATATTCTTAATGAAAAATGCTTAAAAAATCCACTTGTTCCTGATACTGTGAGATAGGATTCGAATCCTCGTTTGGGTGGATTACTTGAACATTATTGAAAATACGCTCTGTAGTAACGAACAAGTTACAAGTGCTTGAAAAATTCGTCAGACCTGTTAGGCCATGGGTAGCTCAGTTAGAGTTAGAGCAGACGCCCGGATTATGAAAGGTAGTGGGTTCATTATTTTTCATTAAGAATTTAATTAAGTTCTTGTTAATTACTTTACCCGTTGGTAGAAAAGTTAGAATTTAAAGCTTTTCTCGGGAATTATATCATGATATGTTGTTGTGGTTTCCACTTTTGTAGAGGCTGATATTTGGTTCTGTAGGCTACACGAATATTTTTATGCTGGCGCTATCTTAGTTGTCTTTATGTTCGATTTTAGGCGGGGTTATTGAGAAAACCCGTGTCTTATGTTTCCAGTTATTATTGCGAATTAAAAACAGTCTTACATCTAAGGAACTTACATTTAAACAATATAATTTATATCTTTTGGTTATATTGTTGAATAGATTTTCAATATAAAGTATTAAAGTTGATAGTGAAATACTGTTATTTCAAGGGTTTTCTGAAATGATACAGATGATAAAGATGAAGCAGATGTTCCTTCTGATATTTAAACTCTTTGAACAGGTCTAGATTCTAGCGCAATAGCTTTTCGCTGTAGGGTTAATTAGCACTATCTATTCTATAGTCTGTGTGTTTTTCTGTGTGCAGGAACAAGACCGCAGCGTACGAGCTCCATCAATGCGCCTACGATTCGGCCGTCGGTCGGACAACAACATGTTTCTGATGCCCTATGAAGTTAGTACATCTGTAAAATTAATTAGCTATGTGACATAATATTCCTATATTATCTAAATATCCCAAGTAGTAGGTAGTAGTATTAAATAACAATAACAAATAAGACAATATTAAATATGGATATACCATCATTTGTTCAGCTACTCCAGTAGAATAAATCCGATTTTTGTATTACAACTATCTTTCCACCAGCGGCTTCGCCCGTGTGGTCTACATAAAAACTTTCCTTTCAAATCACCCTATCTATTTAAAAAATGCATCAAATTTCGTTGTGTTCTTTTAAAGATCTATGGAAACACAGTTACAGACAGACGGAAAGCGACTTTGTTTTACACTATGTATTGATATCGACGGAGTTTATATTCAATCATTTTAAAGTTTCAAAAAGTATACATCTTACAAAAGTTAAAATTTTTTATTCTTCTGTAATTCACTTAAAGACTAAAATTATATGTGAAATCCATTTTGTTTCAGTCGACCCTACCCAAAGAAGTGAAAGCAGGATCCGCAGAAGACGATAGACAGGATTAAATCAACCCGAACACATATCGAACGTACAATACATATTCAATATAATCATCTCTGTACAAGCACACAAATCACTTGCATCTTATCAAAACTAAAAAAAAAAAATACTCAAGTGTCAATCTTTAGATGTTACAGTACTAAGATGTACATAATTAGACTGTTATAAATGTTGTCGACTCGTCTAATACTATCCGATATTCTGTCAAACTATTGTATTTTATGATCTGTGATTATTTCTAGTTGAATATACCAATGTGAGAGGAGACTAGTTTGGAAAAAAGTACAGATAATATTACATTTAAGACTGTCTCTTTCTGATTTTACCTCTACTTACATATATCTTATATAGTGATTTTATTATATTTATTGTGATATTCTAATGGACTGCGTATGAGAATTATAACGGCTTAAAGTCATCATATTAAGTTATTTATTCTAAATGTCTCAATTTTATGTCGGAAAAGAATAACAGCCCAAAATAAAATTCAAATCAGAGTAGACAATTAAAGATTCAATTTTAAATTATAAGTCCATATGATCGGGAATTAGACATTAAATTTTTGTTGTTCTATTGTATTATTTAATTAGAAAATAATATATTATACTGAGCGATGATTGAAAATCAGTATTTAGTCTCTATATGGATGATTTAAATATACTATTCTCGAGGATTTTTTTCCTTCCTATCTTGAATGGTTATACATCTCATCGTAATCCATTGTAAAATCACATTATAATAATAATAATTATAATAATAATAATAATTATAAGTTAATATTTCAGCGAAGTGTTATACATTTTATGAGCTGGGCAAATGTAGAACAGTTTCGCTAACTAGTTACCTACTAATATAAGGTTATTGCAATTATCAGAACAGTATTTAAAAATGTTGTAATTCAATGTAAATCATGGCGTAATTATATTACACTAAGTGTAGCAAAATTATGTTTAATTTTGTATAGATATTAAATAGTGCAATTAATGAGTTGAAATATAAAATATTGCCAATGGATTTAATGTTGTTTCATTTAATAATAAAATTTCATTTTTATTTCGTCATCACTAGTCTATCCATGTCCCCGCTGCCAGGAGACAGACCTCTTGATAGAATCAAATAGGAAGAAAGGGGCGTACAAAACCCACCACACGAGCCCACTGCGGATTATTGGATGTTAAAAACTTCAGATGCAGCCGAAACCAACGGCTTAATATGCCTTCTAAAGCACGGGAGTGCTTAAAATTATAAATTTTTGGTCACCCATCCGTTTACAGGCACTTACCAAAGTTGCTTAACCTTCGCATTATAGACTGAACGCGAAAACCACTGCGTCATCTTCGCTTTATTCATAATAACACTGCCTTAAAAAGTAATTGCCGAACTAACTATTGTAGAAGTGAACAGTATAATACTCGTAGAATAATGATTTGAAAGAGAATAACTAACACTTAAATTACAGAAATCGGTAATAATGGTCGTAGTAATAGTCATATTGTAAAATAGAGTTGTTAACTGGGTAAATAAAAACAGTTCGTCAGTCAGATGATAAAAAAATTAACAAGAAAATGCGTAGATTATAGGCATTAAAGTTGAGGACTGGGGCTCGCTGTATTACAACTATGTAGAGAAAACAAAGAACTGTGACGTTATGTGACACTTCAACTTAATATATCGCCGTAATTTATTGAATATGCAATAAATAAAAAGAAGTGTTGGTCCCGGCTGCATTTGCAGTCGTTAATACCCTCCAATCCGCATTGCACCAGCGTGGAGGGTCATGGCCCATTCTACTTAACCATCCACAAGGAAGGCCTGAGCCCCTGCAGTGGGGACGTAAAAGGGCTGGTAATGATGATGATCTAGGGAACTAAAATAATCAATACGAATATTTGACATTCGTTCTTTTTTTTTACTTACTCTTTGTTCGTTATCCTATGAATACGATTTTTAACCTTTTTTTCAGATTCTTTCTTCAGTTTAAACACAAAGTGCCCATTCTTGACCCTCTTGACTACCCATTAGCAGCCATAAGTGGAACATCCGGATAACAACCATTGTATAGTTGTAAAACTGTGCGTGTTTTCATACAATTTTATAAACTCGCTACAAAAATGTTATAAGTCCAATATTTTTAGAAGCTGGCGTTTTGAGAACAAAGGGCACATAGTTCAAATAGGTCACATTGTTAACATGACAAATAATAATTTATGATTCAATGATTTCATGTGCCTACTTTCATATTTTCAACAGGCTCTTTTTTCAAATCTATATTTGTTCTTTAATGCTCTACACGTACAAATTAACATGACACCTGAAGACCTATTCTGTATCACCGAAAACGAAATTCTGTCTATTTTCTAAATGTTAATACAAGTAACGGATGTAGACCATAACACTGCATTTGATGCATAAATAATCGTCACGAATACATTTTTAACAAAAATTATAAGAACGATTCGAAATTTTCCGAATTTCGTTCAAAGACAAATAGGCTCTCAAGTATCATGTTAATTCGTACGAGTTATAATCAATAAATAGGGATAACGACAGGGCAAAACAAGAAATAGTAATAAATAGTAAAGTACTAATAGTAGTAGGAAGAAATAGTATCAGTCAGTCAGATAATAAAAAAAATAGGTGCATATTTTTTGCTTCAATTTAGAAAAGAAATTGGTTAGATAATAAGCATTAAAGTTTTAGCTATGGGCTCGCTGCGTCACAGTGATGTCATGCGACATTTCAACTCTCTAAATCATTGATTACACAAAAAAGAAAGAAAATTACATGTATAATATTCTCCAATAGTCTACATTCATATTAATAAGTAATAGTATGTACGAGTATATACTCACCTCATTTGCATGACATTTTAAAACCGTTCCATTAATATATCGTTTACAAGCGAAGTATTCTAATAAAATTACTTTTGAGGTAGTCGCTTCTGAATATACGTTACGCTTTATTCATTTTACCTCAGTGTTATGGATACTAAATATTATATGGAATGCGCTGAGGTGATGTTCAATGCATTTAAATATCATCGATTATGTTATAACCAATTTGTTGTGTATGTTCGCATTGTTATTTGTATTATATATATTTACGAATGTTTTTATTCAAAGGAATAATAAAATAATATATAATAAAAATTTTATTAATTTTCCTCACAAATACAGGAACATGGTTATATGTTATCGACTAAACATAATATTAACAAAGTGGTTATTTTCGCATTAAATAACTAAGTAACTATTGTGGTGATTTATTACAAGAAAAATTTTGGAAAAATAAAATTGAAAAAGTAACAACAATTAAGAAGTTAATTTGTGTTTGAATATGTATGTTGAATTGATTTGAGTCTGATTTACCAACAACTAATAACAATTAGTTGTTGGTAAATTCTCTGTTTCGTTATGTGAGGTATGTTTGTATATTGGATGTGCTTTGCTTATCTTATTATATGAAGAGGCACCCTGAAAACAAATGAATATATGTGAAAAATATGTCTTTGGTTGCGGTATTTTATAAACGAGATCCTTTCTATGTCTTCCATCCATTTGTTTAGGGTTATAGTTGTCTGCAGATATAAAATTGTTTGGAGGATGTACAACTGACGCACCGATAAGACTTCCAACCGTTGATAAAAGTCTTCAGTTGAATGATAGTAAGGCAGGCAGTGACTTCAGTTTTTTGGTTTCATTGCTTTTTGTAATAGATATGAAGATCATGTCATCTAATATTTCTTATATTTTATTATATAATGATCAATTTTGCATTCAAAATGCTATACCGACAAATATTCTTAATGGAAAATGCTTAAATGATATTTTATTTAATTAATAATTTTATATGTTATCAAACTATAAAAGTAATTTGCGTAATAAACAAGCAAGAGACTGATGAGATGCCTATGCAAAAGTAACAAGCTTAAAAATCTTTAACAGTTCATTTTCTTTTCTTTTTTAAATAAAAGCCTTATATAAATAAATACCGTGCAGGGAAAGAGGCGTATAAAACACGAAGATAAAGCATAAAATTTAGGTCAAAAATATTTTTGAGACTTCATTATTTGCAAGGTATCCTTCATCTGTCAGCCTCGGATTGTGATTTTTATCGAAGGGAGGGGAAATTTGAAAGATACCACCTCCACTCGCCATATTTTTAAGTTCTTAAAAGCAAAAGCTTTTTTTTTTAAATAAGTCTGACTTCAAGAAAGCTCAGTGAAAGTGAATAATCATTTTAAAAATTCTATTGAAGTCGGATATAGATTTAAGTCGTATTGATATTAACCTATAGAAGTTTATAACTTCAATAGAAGTTTTTGAAGATTTCATTTTAATTTCTCAAAATCCTTGTGAAATAAACTAAAGACGCTGTTTATAAATATAAAACACTAGTTGTTCGAATTCTTATAGAATTGAAAAACAAATATTGAATTCGTATTTTTTTAGAATTACCATTTCTGTACTTCAATATATGATGTCTCAAAACTAAAACAACCTAAGACAGTTTTAAATACCCTGTTTTTGTTGGCAAAAGAGAAAAAGTGAAAGAAAAAATTTGTAGTCTATATAAAACCTATAAAGTATAAAGGTCACTTATTTTACTCACTTTCGTCGTGATTATATCGTAATAATAATTTATTAAAAGCAAATATTTAGGACGAGAATTAATTTGGTCGAGGCAAAGCACCAAGGCGTGTATTTGCATTACTTTATAACTCTCTCGACGTATTTACTTGTCGGTGTATAAAAGGATTTTTACTCTCATCGTAATATTTTTTATGTTATTAACTGTCCTTCTTAAACGATTTCAATCAAATATACATTAACGTAAAGAATATATTGTAAAACGAGCATTTGACTTTTCATTTCACGCCGTCTGTCAAAGCAATGCAAGATTTTGTTAATAGGTTAATTAATTTTATTTGGTTATAGGTTAATAATTTAATATTTAATCAATCACATTAAACAAATTCTTGTTTGAATGAGAATAAAAGAACTAACAGACTCCCTAGATAGCAACCGCCTCTCTCTAGCCATAACTATAAAAAAGTTATATTGATGTTGTCAAAGACACACATATATTTGCCAACATATATATATAAATTATGTTTATATATATATATATATATATTAACGTAGACTAAATTATAAAAGTAGAATTGAGGCTAAGCTAATTCGATACTGGTTTGGTTTTATAAATGTTAGTTTCTTGTTATTGTCTAATTTCTGTTTCAGTTATCTTATTGTAGACGAACATATGTATTGATTTGAGTCTGTTCGCAGCGTTCTAGAAAGTGTTTGTAAGATTCCGAAGCAGGCACGGGACAGGTAAAGTTATTTCGCAAGGAGGCAATACTGACATCTTGTCAGTGGCAAGCAAGGGCTTGGCTGCCCTTTGCAAATCTGTTATTCCTTGACAAATTATAAATTTGTATATACTAAAGTTCAGATTTTAAATATCAGTTCGGAATTTTATTTTTGTCCTAGATCATTGTTTCAATTAAATTTTAACTAGTGACGTAATTCAAACTCTTTTGATAACAAATCAGAGAAATCCAAAGTCGATAGGGTTACTTTGTTTAATTACTGAAGTCCCATGGCTACTTTCCGTCGCTATCGTGTCAATTCTACTGCAAAGTAAAATATTACATTTTCATCCAATTTACATTTTGATAAATTTTTAGCTTAATAAAAAATTAGGTAGAAGCAAGATTTATCAAAAAGGACGTTCAATAAAAGCTTGTAATATCAATACTAATTTTACAAAGAGTTAAAGTTTCTAACTTTGTTCGTTTGTAGAGTGATCTTCGGAAATACCGATCCGTTCATGAAAATTCTTTCACCTACGGAAGCTACATCATATGTGGGTAACATACGCTATAACTTAGGCGGGCGAAGGAAAACAGCCAGTAAAAAATATACAGCTCATCAAATTGAATCGAAAAGGGAGATGATCATTTCCCTCCACGCTAAGTTTCAGTAAGTGCTAATACAAAATGTTTCATAAAATATGTCATTTCATGTTTCCAACTTCAAAGATAGTGAAATGTCCGATTTCCGTTAATTGAAGCCAGGTTTCGAAGTCATTGCCAGGATCTATAGAATATGTGACGTCGCGAAAGCAGTGTGCAATCCATTGCAATCACGAAGGTCAACACTATATACATCGAGACCGTGACAGAAGCCAATGAATGATTCATATTTTATATTCACGTACGAATGCAAGTTCTATTAATAAAATGGTAGTGGTATTACTAGTTACATCAACATGTAACAATCATGTTGAAGTTGAGTCACTCCACTGAAACAGATTAATTATATCTTTATACAGGTCCGAATTGAATTTGATTGAGTTTGATACTAATATTATAAAGATGTAGAGTTTCTTGTTGTGAGTAATCTTCAAATTCTGGTCCGATGATGAATTCTTTAACTTACATATTGTATAGATATTAACCGATAGAAGTTTATAGCTTCCATAGAAGTTTTTTGAAAAAATTCTTTAGATCTGTGGAAAACATAAAAAAATAACTGTTTATAATAATAATCATGCTCGAGTGACATAGGCTATAATTTAAGTGGGCAAAGGTGCGTTTAAATAGCTAGTTATATTACTAAAATGATTCACCCATATAAGGGTATACATTTTTCACCATATTGAAACCCCGTTGAAATGACTAGCCAAAATATCGAAAATCATTATACAGATCATTAGGGCATTAATAATAATTAAATACTCTTAATGAAATCTGCTTAAAAATACACTTCACAAAATCTTTTCGTAATTGGAAGATAGAAATAAGATAAGATACATTTTTCATGAGGAAATTGATCGCATATTATTAAGCGTGGATCTAGTGTAGATGGAACTAGTCCTGAAATAATAATTATTATGGCCCAGCTTACTTGCCTTTGAAAGCATAGAGTTCCTTAATTTAGTATAATTTTGCGTAAGCAACCAAGAGATTTGGCAAAGTAACTTAACCTCATATATGGCTCCATGAAGCTACCTTATTTAATATTTAAAGATCCTTTAGGATCAGGGCAGATCTTCAAAGTCCAATGTCCTTATTATAGACATCATTTTGAGTTCGAGAAAATTAATATTTTTGACAATCCTTTAAAATATCAAATTAAAAGTCGTATTTAAAAATAAAAATATTAAACGAAGGGTATCATTACAATACGAATTTCGTATTTTTACCATGTATTTAGTTAATTTATTATAAGGTTATAGTTACAAGGTTATCAATAATTTTGAAATCAAAACATCTGACATGTCTAGTGAGAAACTGGAACAAAACCTTGACTGATATAATTTGCAAGAAATAGTTTACATGTGGAGAAGCTCGCGAGTTTTGAATTGCGGAGTTAATCGACTATTTCAAAAACCAAAGCAAATTAATATTATCTTTAGCTTCTCTCTTTCCTCTCTGTGATTGATTAAATACGTTGATCCGTCAGTTCTGGTAACTGCAATGGTATCCACCATATGGCTCTTATTCTCTTTAATAAAATCCACCACTACAAAAGATCCATGTCCTTACAGTGGGAACATTAATAGATTGACGACGACGATTCACCTTTTTATATAACAAAGTCTGCCGCTTACGAACGTAAGTGGTTAAGTGGTGACTTAAAAGTTAACAAAATTTTCACATTTTTGCTAAAGGACACTGTAACTTAAGAAGAACATTTAATGAATGACATATCATTTTAACTCAATCGACTATGTATTTTCGGAACAAATTAGCTGTTAGCAACAGACAAACAGACACACGAGTAATAAGTAGTTCCATTTTTACATTTTGAGGTATGGAAGTAAAAAATAGGCTTGTGTTCTACAAGTGAAGATACTGTTTTTTGTTATATGTTCAGATAATATGAACCATTTTAACTTCTAAATATTTAAATAATAAATTTTATGACACTAATTTGGCAAAATTGCGCTTTGAAAACTTGAAAAAGGTAGGAAAAATATACTTCAAAATTTTGTTACAATATATATGACTTTAATTAGTTACATAAAACTTTAAAACTTTCATTATAACAGCTGTAAACAAACGCACAAATATCAAACATGACCAGAAGCCCATAGGTTTTTCGTTACCGTAGCACCGTGTGACGTCACTTAGTTCATTGAATTTGTAGGGAGCGTTTTCGGCCGTCTAGCAGCAGTTTCACAAACAGAGCACAATGTCTCCGAAAGTATTAATCGCAGACATGTTATTACTTCCACATTAATTCTCAGATATTAATGAACTATTTATTTATAATATAAAAAAAAGTTGTCAACTAGCCTATTTTCCCTGTTACGTATAAGGTAAACGAAAACATATTTATTAATATAACACATCAAGGAACATTCATCGCAACAAGATATTATTGTTATATGAAACCATGCATTCACTTTAGGGAAAAAATGGATCATATCGGTTTCGAACTGGATTAGGTATACGGAAAAGTTATCTGAAAAACAAACTATAGGTACAAATAAAAACAATAGTTTTCAAAATACAGCGACGGACTCAGTTCTGTGTTGTTACACAACATTGGTTGAGTCAAATAACATCTTTATGTTTTTTTCCACCATCAATTCGGTTCCTTATAATTTTTTTCCATCATCGTCATCCTAGAAAAGCAAATGGACATCCTTTCTTTAGTTTTTGAGTTTATCGCGTTCAGACAGACAAACACGACAAGAACATCTTTGTTTCCTTATTTATTTATATTTCAAGTCAAGCTTAAGTTATAGAACAAGAGCAGCATTTTTTATGTATGTTTCCATTCATACTCATAATTAAATATCTTTTAATTATATATTCATTTACACTTCCCACTGAGGATATTCATAGAAAAATATTATTCGAAATAAAGTTCAACGACCTTCCGTATTTGCGATTGTAAAAAGAAGGTAAATGGTCAACCTCTGTAACCATGACACCAAAATAAACTGAATTATTATAATATCGTTGGCTAAGCGTTAGGAGGCGAGATGAATTTCATTTGTATACTAGGAGTGGTCACGTACAGTCTTTTATTTGACTGGCATTCCGTAATAAGACAGTGAAGTTCAAGGTTTTACCAAAAAGGATTTATTTAATTCAAAAGGGGTATGTTACGACTACTCATTATTTTGTATACTTGTGAATTCCAAAGAGACGAAAGCTGACATTGCTGGCAATCACTAACTATATTGAACACGTGTTTTTGTGTCTAGAAAAAAAATATTTCGGACCACTTTAAACTGTGGAATGTTGAACATGACATTTTTATATGAACATGTTATAAAAACTTTTCTCGGTCAATGTTAAGAAAGTTTGGCTTTTCGCATTTACCACCTGTTGGGCGGATTACACTGTAATACCGCAGGTGAGTGCGTATCGCGAGCGCAAGCGTGGGCGGCCGCACCGCTCTCAGTTAGAGATAGGCAAGCACGCCGCTCGCACGAATCCGCCGCACAAGGTATAAACGCACAAAATAATGCTCGGCTTCATATTTAACATCACTAATAAATGCTAAATCACCTTCACATTCTAATCACCTGGCGACCATGACTAATTACACGGACAAGGTGTTCGGTTACAAAAATAATCTTGACTTCATAATACTGAAATAACGCAGACATTTTCACCATGACGGTCGTCGGCCGTCGTCTTAGCGTAGAACGGTTTTGCATGCACTTCTTTATCAAATCTCGACTTTTCTTCGCGTCATAATATAAAGGAGCTTTTCATATGAATAATGATTAAAATAAAAATTATGTCATTCAAACTCATTAGTGAAATTTTGGACTCGAACGAAGATTATGATGTGATATAGTGATTTGATTCTAGAATAATTGCAATTTTGTCTTTACGATTAGAATCTGACGGCACTGAGAGATAAAATTAAAAATAGCGGAAAGCTATTCCCGTACAGCGTGTCTGGATTACACAGCGGGATTATTTTCAACCTTGATGACGGTATTGTTAACCTTGTTTCTCTAAAAACAACTCGATTAACCTTAAGGCATAATTTCCAATTCTGTTCTATTTACACGATGTTTTGTTTATTGTAAATACAAAAGAGCGTTAAATGTATATTCGTTGAAAGTTGTACATGCTTTAAAAATAGTTTGCTGTGTTGAAAACGCAGAAAATAAATAAGATTTAACCTCAAAGTTTACGTAATGGAGTTGCAATCCTCTTAATTGCCAGAGGTCAGTCGTTGAACTCCCCGTTTATTTTTAATAGCAAAACATATAACTTAATTACTATGCAATGATACCTGAAATGTTATGAACTTATGCATAAGCATTGCAAAAGCTTTTCAATGGTCTAATTAGTTAATTTACAATTCGTTTCACTCCCATTATAATATCGCGTTATTCATTGGACCAAACATGAAATTAGACTATCTTATCTGTCCTGTAAAATCGCATCTTTGGATACCGTCCACAGAACGATAGCGAACCTGCATACACCTACGCACATTCTCGTTAAACTTTGTATGATGTGCACAAAAAACCAAACACATATCTCTTGCCAAATAAACTATCAAAATAATTTATGATCGTAAGTTCGAAAATAACAATATTTGAATAGTAAATAGCTGAACAAATTAAGATACCAATGATTTGTTTCCCTAAAAAAGTTCCATTGCAATGGACATTCTTATTTATAATTATCAGATATAAAAATGTACAAATGTAAGGAATATAATAAATAATAAATGTCGGTAAAGTATATCATGAAATTTTAGATATTTTGTCGGTTATACTATCGAACTCATTGATTGGCAACAAACCATAAACTTATATATGCATAACCAATATACATTTCCCGAAATATTACTCACCTTATTATATAAATTTATGATATATCATTAAAAAATATAATCATTATACGACTTACATAGTCGTATAATGATTATATTTTTTATGAAAAATGGGAGCTATAAAATTGCCTAGTTGAGAAACATTCATTGAATTCAAGTTTTTTTATTTTATCTAAGAAATTTAGTCTGACATTATCAACGGTATCGTTTAAGTATGGCGTCATTTCATTTAAATTTTAACCGTATTGTATATATATTAGTTTTCATTTAACCATTTCGAATGGCAAGTTCTACTTGATTAACCCCAGTGCTCTTTTGATTTCACTTAGTTAGTTTATACACCAATGAATTGCAAATTGACAACAGGATCTAACGTAACAGCTAACAAAACACGAAAAGTTTCTGTTATTCATCTATAAAACTTTATTATACATACCATACAAAATCAAAACAATATCTCAATACTATAACATTAGATTCAAGAAAAAAGCTAACTAAAACTTTGAAGCTTTATTAGTAATATTATTTTAAAACACTAATTTTTAGCGACAGGTATTTAATTATTTCCGTGTTACTATTTAATTAATAACTTTATAACAAACGCTGATTTGGACATAAAAATAAAGCCATATAAAATAAATAAAAATGAATTTTACTTATTTAATCTTAAATTGTCAATTCCGATAACATGAATTCAAAATTTGAAACGAATGTTTCATATATATATACTAATTGTTACTACTTAAACAAATAAATGATTCTGAATAACGTTTTGTTTTCGCTTGTATCACGTCGGCTAATTCGAGAGCGTTCAAGCATCCAAGAATCTTCCGCGTCCGTTTCGCAACTACACGTAAATAAACCACTCACTAAAAATATAAACTATTGCTAAAGAAATATTTTATATTCTACATTGATAGGTTAAAGAAATATTTGAGAATCCTTGAAGAACTTGGAAAAGATCGCCTATAAAGCACATATTAGAGAGGTCTTATCATCATTATGTATATCTATCTACCTACCTTGTAAAAAATAAGAGTCGGTATTAACTTGTTCATATATATACTGTATACTGTTCATATAAATACCATATGGTATTTATATGAATATATATATATATCTAGATATAGATATATATATATCTACTCATTTAATTTCTAATAATACTTTCTTGAAATCTACATCAAATTCGTTTCAGTGAATAACGGACAAACATACATACATGTCAAACTAAAAACCTCTTTTCATAAATAACCAAGTTGGAAACACTGCTTGACACTAACCTCTATGAAGTGCTAGCTGTTTTGCCGCGACTTCGCCCGCATAATATAGCTTATGTCACCCGAGTCTAATGTAGCTTCTCATAGGTGAAGGAATTTTCATGATTGGGTCAATATTTCCGAAAATTACCCCCCACCAAATTAAAACAAAAAACAAAGTTAGAAATTTTACCTATTGTAATACATATTAGGATAGACAGTATAGATTAGTCTATCGAATACCAAATTTCTTTTTCTTTGGTCGGTTGTCCCACAAATAAAAAAATAAATAAAAAATCACTTAAATTATACCTACTCATATAGATAATATATTTTTCCATTTTATCAAAATAACCCATTACCTGTATGTTTTGTTTTATTGTACAAGACGTAGGTATGTCGTGTAACAGCCTATAATAAAATGGCAATAAGACGAGCCGACGTCGACAGCTCGCCCTCCCATCGGTGTGAATCTAACGAGAGTAATAAAATTATCCCATGGAGATAATCTCGTCAACCTTTAAGGTCTCATATTACGAAAATAACATGCATTTTTATCATATACTGATAACTACTGGTGATAGCTAATGCAAAATGGACTGTAATTAATAATATGATTTATTTTTATTTATTTATTAAAAACACGGTAAAACAAAGAATGAGAAAATAATATTAAAATAATACAACAAACAGATCAAGACATATACACAAAAAGATTTTGACAGCATTAATAACATATCGAACACAACGTAGGGTTTTATAAAAAAGGTGGAATTACCAGTCAGTTGCTAACATATACATACACTTATATTATATTTTTAATGTTACTGTCAAAATGAGTCTGTTACTCTAAAAGTAAATTAATTAATTCTTTGTCATATATTTTTTCTATTTATATTGAAAAAAAAATATATCGAATAGAACTACAACGCTAGAACTAAAGCTCGCAGTGGTTGCACTTTCGGTCTCCTATGCAGAGATTCACCAACTTACGCGAGGGTAGTTCATAAGTTGACTGATCAAAATTTACTATCACCGTGCCTTTGGAAGTCACGTTAATACACACAGTTATTTTGAAGGGCTTGAAGAAAACCACTTCAGGGATGGCATCAAGGCTTTAGAGCATAGATGGATAGAGTGCATAGCGCTTCAAGGAGATTATGTCAAAAAATAAATATACTTTTAACACACTAATTCAAGTTTTTCTATGCTAGGCTAGCTATTTATCATCCCGCCCTCGTACATTCCGAACTTACGATACTAAAGGGTCATAAATTTTATAACTCATTCGAGATGGTTGTTTAACACAAGTTTAACATATCAATGAGATATTACGTCTAGGGTTTTAGCAGTATTTACAGAAGTCAAGAGAAAATGCTATTTTTATAAAGTTTTTCATATATTACGGCTATATGTATTTCATGGTAAAAAAAAAAACTTTGAAACAATGTACGAATACAAGCATATGGATAGCTAAAATGTATGCTTTTTTACAATAGCTAGTTTTTTTATTTGATTACTTGAGTACATCACAAATTCTACCTACGATAAATTTATAGTCACTGTGTCTTTGCGCCCGGCAATTACATAGATAGAGATAGAGTATAGCTAATTTTTCTTTTTTTTTTATATTTACTCGCAAATCAAGAGTGCTACGTAATTTTATCTTTACATACATATTTATCAATATTTCCTGCATGCTTGAATCGTTTTCTGCACATCAAAATCATCATCGAAAGCTTTTAATTTCTCTACTAATGGGGGCAAACATCTTCTCTGTGAAAAGAATCACATATAAAATATAATAATAAAGATAAATAATAAAAATTAATCCATAAACTTGTAATAGGCAGCGGATTCTTTAAGACTTCTTCGTGAACAATGGAATATTAAATCCAAAAGTGCTATCATAATTAAACATCATAGAATAAACCAAACAACTCTTTCCTAATTCCAGCGCTGAACGAACGACTCCAAGATGGCCACCGGCCCTAAGGTAGTACACAAGCAGTTCAACTCGCCCATCGGGTTGTACTCCCAGCAGAACATCAAAGAAACCCTTAACAAGCACCTACAAAATCTGGATAACGGCACAGTGGGGTAAGTAATGACATTCTGACCTCTTTCAACTGTAACGGTGTATTGTACGTACCATCAACACCGTTCATCTTTTTCCTGGGTCCTTTACATATAGGTTCTATTCCTTTTTAGTAGTTTTAAAATAGGTACTGGCAGGTCCGTCCAAAATTCATTTTATGTAAGTATGTAATTGTCAATGTCATGTCGTTAGTATTCTTCTTGGTGAAAAGTTAATACAATAGATAGATAGATATTTATACTTTATTAAGTAGGATTATATTGATAATGAAATTATAAGTGTAAAACAGTTTATAGTAATCGGTAGATATTATGAATGATCAAACCTTCAAATTTTAGATAGCTCTAAGCTTATTCAATTAATTATTATTTAACCACATGAATTCTTTTAAAAACAGCTTTGAAGTCATTGATGGCAGCGCTCAAGTCATGAAGCAGAGGTGTAAAACTCAAAATTACAGAACATAAAGATTTATATTAGATTAAGAATGTGTCATACTGAAATTAGAAAAGCATAAATAATTAACTCACTCATCCTCATTCGAGCTACTCTTAGATTTACTAATACCGTACCCTCGATGTTTGGAGTGTAGTCTAAAATCTGAACTCAGGAAAAACCGTAAGTTTGTCATGACTGTTATAGAGCTTCAATGAAATAAAAGCTGTATTAGTTTTTGAAGTAGGTTTTATTTGATCAAACCTCTGTGCTATGATGCATCTGCGTTCGAGGTCGAGTACGAGGCTATTTATATAACATATTTTGTTATAGCACTTTTGTTTTATAAATTCTACTAAAGAAAAACTCAAATATATTCCAAAAGAAATTTCGTAGACGTTATCTAATCGTTAAGGCTTAATTGATAAAGTTCATCGGATGATAAATAAAAACAACTTTAATGATAAATGTTATTTTTGTTAATTAATGACGTAACCAACAGAAGAGACGGCTTTTTGGTAATAAAAGATACTGTTGACTGAATGACACCTACAAAAAATTACTAATAAAATTACTAATTTGCAAGGTTTCGTCTCCCAGCAGGTGATCAATCTTAAAAATGTATCTGTATTATATCTCGTTAGAGTTGTTTTTAATTTAAAGGGACATTTTCCCCTGACTTCCCGGCGGCTCTTCGTCATAGTGATTATTTTCGAAACCCCGCTCGGAGCCAGGGTATTCAGCGTCCGTAAATATTTGTTGAGAATCAACCTAAAGTTGTTACAGGAATTTTCATTTCAAAATTTTCTTACACGTTAACAAAAACGTCATCATCTCAGTGAACTTGGGATTAAGCTATTTACATCTAAATAACGGAATTATTTTTATTTAAACATGAAATTACAAGATACTCTTTTTATATTAATAAAGATAAGAATTAATTCGTAATATACGAAAATATAATTTATGTAAATTTTAAGTCTTGAGATTGTATGGAAGCAGTAAACTTTATTCGAATAAATATATTCTTGCTTTTCTAATTCTATATCTTTTAAAAAGAACACCTTTTTTAAATTTTTATTTATAATATAGGTACATGTTATAATTAGGTTTATAAGATAGATATTGCTTTCGATTGAAATAATTGTATTATGTAGTAAAAAATTAAGAAATAGTTAAAACAGCTCGATGAATTGACACCATTGCAAGTGATATCCTGGCCAATATATAGATATTCGGAATAGCCACATTTTCTGCATCGTTTCATCTCGGATTCATGGCGATGTCGGCCCTTTTTTCGGCGCTTGAAACAACAGTAAATTTAGGATCTATTTAAGTATACCCTGATTGACGTGACACAAACTTTATACAATTTTAGAGAAAGTGGACTTCATACGGACGAGATATTTTGTTTAGTTTTGTCCTGAGTTTAATTAAATACTATAGTAGGTATAGGGTGATTGGATCTTTTTTCTAGAGCCTTCTTGAAATTAAACCTTAATATTGGTGTTAAATTATTTATTCTGCATGAACGAAATTTATATTTCAATCCAATACTATCAGACTTAAAAACTTGTAAAATTTTCGTTTTTCTAATTGCTGATCATTTTTCAACATTCAAATTTAAAATCATTTCAATTCAGTCACTTTTGCAAAGAAATATTTTGTCCGATAACTATTAAGTAGTGACTTTTGAGCTTAAGCTGAATAGCTTTACCCACCTGAGGGTCGCTTAAATTATTTTTCCTTTATCTATATTCAGTTGATGTAATTTCAGTAATTTAACCTGTTTTTAAATAAACTTGCAGATAAACAGTGATTTTTGTTGCAAGCGACAATTATTTATAGTAATATTAGCTTTAATAAAATTATTATGGAAATAATTATAATAAATTATTATGGAAAATTAATTAAATCATTTTTTCTCAAAATATTAAAAAATACATTTTTAAATGTTTTTTTCTCAACATTTTAACTCTGTAACTCTCTCCTGTACAGTTCCGAATATGTCGTTTAACATATATTGCCCGCAAATTCTCAAAATTATTACACAATGTACCTACCATTTTACAGAAGTAAATTTTTTGCGTATAATGCAAAAACGTGGTGTTACTAAGAATCTCAGCGACAGAATCTGGACCGAGTTAAACTATTTATTTAATAAAGTTTCAATTAAATTTACCATCAGCCATCGATGAGTCATCGATGAGTGCCAATAAATTAAATTGTAAGACATTCCTTCCACCAAGAAAACTGTCTGCATCATTGAACATATTGGAATAAAATCGGCAGTCCGATCGACTCTTTAGCTACATTTTAGCTTAGCTATAAAAAGATTTTATTGAATGAATATATGCTAAATTTTAACCTAATTAGTGTAGCAGTTTTGAAACAAATCAGCTATGGCGGACGGCCTGACCGACGGACAGACGGATAGATAGAAAGATATTGTGATTTGATACGAGTGATTTTACTAGGGAACCTTTTAATTTTTTTTTGAAGTTCAAAATCCTAAAAATTACATTCTTAGTTTCTGAGCAATATTTTTTGTATACCAATATAGTGATAGGTAAACTATTAAAGATTCATAAATAATAAACAATTAATTACTATTGATAGTTCGACAGCAAGTAGAATGGACCCTCAGGCAGGTGTCATGTTTATTTACGTGTTATGACATGAGCTTCCTTTTACTTGACATTTTCACTATTTACGTGACACGCTGTATCGTTGTTTCTACTGAGGACCAACTGTGTTTGTAACATACAATGTTAAGTGTAATTTGTCACAGACCAAAGCCACTTAAGATGATTTGCCATGTGTTGAACATCAATGCAATCTTAACATCGTTCATAACATGAAGCGAATTGAACAGAAGTACGTGTATATTTAGGAACATCTTATCTCTATGCACTTGGATTATCACTGAAGAGATTATTTGAGGGTTCATAGACAACTTTTATTGAGCAACATCCAGGCGTATATTGAGTTAACACAATCAGAACTCATCTGCACCATCTGATTTGGTTTTAAAAAGAAAAGAGCATTTTAAGAGCTCTTATTAAAAATAAATTTCGGTCCAGTTTTAATCTTCTTTTGATGCAATACAGAGTAGCATAAACTTTTATCTTTGTCTTTACTTTATACCCTACTAGCTGACCCGAAAAATGTTGTTTTGTCATATAAACTTGTGAACCACTCTTATATCACTTAGAGGAACAAAAAATAGATAATAAACTATTTTCACACCTACTACAATATATATACATAACTTTTCATCAAAATCGGTCAAGCTGTTTTAGAGGAATATGCAAATAAAACTGTGACACAAAAATTTTATAATGTATATGTATTTTATTGTTTGCTTTATACATACAAAATAATTTATAATTTTGTATATTATTATGCCAGACAATTAAATTGTACCTAAATATCGATTAAATCATTTTTTCTAGAATTAAATTCACATATAATTAGAGTAGAGCAAATTACATTTTATCACTAATTACTTTATGATTCTTCAGATGCTTATGTGAAACAATCTTACACTAAAACAAGACCTCAGTGACTCTTAAATTCTTATCCAGAGTTCGATTTTGATCATTTATCCCATTTCTAAGCAAATATGACTTGAGATCATTTTTATCAGGTAAGTATTAGTTTATTTGTAGTAATAGCAATTTTATAAAAATGACTTAGATGAAATGAATTAGACTAGGTTGTGTGGATTTTATTTAAGAAAACTTAGATTAATATTCACACAAACTTTTTGATGTCATTTTTATTCTGAAAAATTATGACACGCTTTTCTGTAAAATTCAAACAATGTCGCTTATACAAACCTAACATATAAGTAAAAAGATGTTATCCTAAATGTCATAATTTTAGCTCAAAATGTCTCAAAAATTTACACAAACAGAAACAAATCGGCAAATTTTAAAATGCACATGACGAAATTTTAAATTTTCGACTTAAGTATGTACAGTAAAATATGTATAAACAGCTTTTTCCGACATTGTAATAAGTGCTTAATTTGAATATAATCTAATTTCTCAAACAATTACCTTTATTGATAAAAGTCATTGCTGGCACAATGCCGATTTTCAGGAAAAATAAGGAAGCAAGACCTACGTTGTATATCAAAATAAATAACATAACATTGCCGACTGTAATTCCAAGTAGACATATCTATAATATATAAAGCTTAATTACCACTCACTGACTCACTGCACTCACTCCATGCTTTTTTCGGGTAGAAGGAGGGGGAAAATGACGTTTTCATGTATGGAGAGTGACAATATTTTTTTAATTCGAGTTGAAATGGCATATCGGTACAGCCAAAAAACAAAATGGCGGCGAGATATTTTTTTTAATTTCTACATTATTCACTCTACGGTTACGATATTGAAAATGGTCGTAGATTTGGCTAAAAAAATGACCCTGAAAAAGGTTTTGTTAAAAAAAACAAAATGGCGGCCGAGATATTTTACCTGGAAAATTGTCATTTTTCAACCTCTGTTCGGGCGATCGTCAATTATTTTGTGGTGGGTTTGGAGGGGGGATCTTT